AGCTAGGACACAAAACTTGCTCGGACTCCCTGTTTGAGCCGCACTTATACGCCGCGCGGAGAATAAGTTGAGGCCTAGAGACTAGGCAATACGTCAATAGGCTTCATCTTTTTTATGATTGATATCATTAAGTGTCTCCTTCTCCTGAAAATCACTTAAACGCAAGCATTGCTGTGAACAAGGCTTTGGGTGACAAAATACAGTGATTTGCATGAATTTGGAAATTTCAAATAATATAATTGTGTTATACGAATTACCCATGCAAGATCCGAGTTATGTCCACTTCTGGATAAGAGCGAAAGTTTCGATCAGCCTCGTTCTCCAAAATGCAAGGCAAGGTTGAGTTTTGATATTTCTATAGAAACATTTTAACTCTGAAAAATTTGATTGTTGTTGTTGTTTTCTTTCAGGGTTGCTACTTTTTGTTCGACGAAAGTGTTTATCAAGCACCTTGATGTGTACATGTATTGTAACCGTTCTTGGTTTCTAAAAATCCTATATGCCTTATATTTTTCTTCTGTACCGTATATAACACTAATGGTTATTCAGATTTTTATAACGAAAATCAACAGAATTCTGAAACGCACGTGGACTTCCTTTTTTCGCACAAATAAGCAATGGAGTTATTTTTCTTATTGTTTTGTCCATCGATCCGCAAGAAATGACCACTCCCTGTATTTGTAATAACTGTATTTCTGGCGTCATCTGTTCTCCAGCTGATCTAAGGTCAATGAGTTTAAATTGATGAGATTTAATATGGGAATTTGACACTGTTTTTCATTATCGACTATAATGCACTGGTGTACAAAGAGAATGGCAATAAAAAACTCATTTCACGAAACGAGTCTGCATCCATCCATCATATGGCTTATATCACAGTTTTGCTATCAGTCGGGAAGAGGGAAAATAAAGCCTATGGTGCCAGATGATGGATAGAACGAGGTAACACGAAAAAAACAAAAAAAACAAAAACAAATAAACAAACAAACAAACAAACAACAACAATAAAAATCTAAAAAAAAAACAACAAACAAGCAAACAAGTGTTTCTGTCTCATGAAATATATGACATTCTGTTTTTGGCGTTTCTATGTTCTCAGTTCTCACCACCATACACCGTATTCACAAATGGCGGACACGCGGGAAAAAACTGGTGCCTAGTCATGAAAGCGAGGCGTTGGAGGATAAACAAAAATTTCAAATGAAGACTTTCAGTGAACTTCCAGAGTGTTTAGCACGGATTCCACCTAAAATAACTTTGTACGGACTTCTTTTTAAATACAGTTACGTGGGATGTCTTCTGCTTTTAATGTTTAGTAATGACTTGCTGTTTGCAATCAAAAGGGACGCGTATATCTGCAAGGAAACAGGATGATTTTGTAGGTTTTCGAGTCGGTTTCCGAAGCATCAGAAGCTCGACAGGTGGACGATGACTGGAGAAAAGCGGCAAACATGTTGGCCCAAACTTCACATTGAAACCGAGTACGAAAGCCAGCTCACTGTAATTCGGTGAAACAGAAATATAAACAAATCTTGGTGGCAAGAAAAAAGAAATAAGCGACAGATACATGGCCTACTTGTTAACGCAAGAGACGTCTGCCGTTGAACAAAACAGTTCAAGTCGAGATGGAAAAAAGGAAGACAGGAAAGAAGAGGTGACTGAGGTTTCGATGAAGTTATGTTTGATTTTTGTTTGCCAGGACGTTATTCTCTGGTCTTTATCAACGAAGGACATCAATTATAACTATTTTTTTTATTATAAATGCAGGAGCGATCGAGTGGAGTACGCTCAAAATTTCAACTTGTTACTCGGCAGACTCGGTAAGCCAGACACATCATTTCAGCGAGTAATTTCGTATTTCTTATCGTTGGCTGTTAAGAGTTTTAACTTTATGTTCCATTATATTTTAAAGTTGAAGAATACATAAATAAATAAAATGATGGTCTTCTTAAACGGATCCAGACTCGAATTTAATTATTCGAAACAGAAGCTTGCCATGTTCAGTCCTGACACAAACATTGCCTTAAAAGTTTAACCTAGTAAAATGTAAGCTTTATACCACTTTTTTTTACCAAGAGCTCTCTGAGATAATGCCCTAAAGGAGACCAGGCAAATAGCAAGCCATAAGATTCACACACTACAGCTTCTAATTTTGATAAAATTATTTTTAATTATTTCGCAATGACAACGAAATCATGAGATTTTTGCTAAGCTCTGCCAACGTACCTCTAACAATTCGCTCCAAAGCGACGGAATTAATATGATCCAAAGGAAGTTGTAAATACAGACATACATATATACATAGATATGTATAAGATGTCACTAACATGAATGAATGAGCCTCGTGAATGAATCTTTCACCCGCTCTCAGCTTGACCTGTTTTCAGTGGCCATATATCCGTCGCTTATTTCTCTTTTTCTCGCCACCAATATCTGTTTTTATTTCTGTTTTACAGAATTGTAGTGATCTGGCTTTCGTATTCGGTTACAGTGTGAAGCTGGGCCAACATGTTTGCCGCTTTTCTCAAGCCATCGCCCACTTGTCGTGTCCTGCTTCTGATGCTTCGGAAACCTACAAAATCATCCTGTTTCCTTGCAGATATACTCGTCCCTTTTGATTGCAAACAGCAAATCATTACTAAACATTAAGAGCGGAAGACATCCCACGTAACTGTATTTAAAAAGAAGTCCGTACAAAGTTATTTTAGGTGGAATCCGTGCTAAACACTCTGGAAGTTCACTGAAAGTCTTCATTTGAAATTTTTGTTTATCCTCCAACGCCTCGCTTTCATGACTAGGCACCAGTTTTTTCCCGCGTGTCCGCCATTTGTGAATACGGTGTATAGCTCCTCCATTCGACATGTAAACCATACATGATACGCTTTAAGCTCTGGCCAGCGCTAGCGCTCGAAGTAGGTGACCCTAATTACTTTCCTTCTTCTTTTAACATTGAAAATAAGAAAAACATTCTAAGTTAGCACCGAGGACGATTCTCGACCCGAAGCAAATTTTGAAATCAAAACCTCTTGAATGTTAGCACATCTCCTAGCTCATAAACCTGTCAGTCAATTTTGCTTCGTTGACTTATACTTTCATTGTATGATTTTCAAAATTGAACATAGAACAGCTTTTCGGGCCCGAAAAGTTATCGGGACCTTCGAGTAACGGACCCCACGTGTGTCATTAATTTCACGGGTTGGTTCAAGTCCTCTTGATAGCTGCAGGAGTTCTCGCGTTTTTCTGGCGCACGGCGCCTGGGGATGAGAAAGCCCGTCCCAGACTTTCCTCGGAATTTGTACCATTGGAACCTTCAAGATGGCGGATCTGTGTGATGTTTTACTGTTATTTGTGACTTGTGTCCATCTACTCGTTTGTCCATTCACCAAAGTAGAAGAGAGCTTTAACATGCAAGCAACGCACGATCTCTTGTATCATAGAGGCAACATTAGCAAGGTACGGTACTTCAATTACGATCGCCTGGTAGCGATCTCAATTTCCAAGCGAAAGTCTCCTAGAGTACAAGATTTATTATGCTTCATGTAGGAGCCCGTTGTTCATGTAACTGCAGAGTAGATGCATTTTGCAAATTAAAACCCTGAGAAATACGATGGAAGAGAGAATTAAATCTGGAGCGCAAGAAAAAAGTGTTCTTTATTAAACTTACTACTGAGTGAGTCATTTCATTTTTATCCGTAACCCTCCCCCACCACGGTCAGTATAAAACGCGGACTGCGGACTGCGGACTGCGGACTGCGGACCACGGACTGCGGGCTGGGTATAAAATACGGACTAGGTATAAAATGCGGACTCTGGACTGAGTATAAAACACGGACTACGTATAAAACGCAGACTACGGACTATGTATATAAAAATGACTTTAGAAAGGTAAAACCGGGGGAAATGGAAAGCGGACTAGCAAAAACGGTACTCCCAGCTTTAACATTCCCTTGGCTGTTCACGTAGCCTANTTTTGTCCATCGATCCGCAAGAAATGACCACTCCCTGTATTTGTAATAACTGTATTTCTGGCGTCATCTGTTCTCCAGCTGATCTAAGGTCAATGAGTTTAAATTGATGAGATTTAATATGGGAATTTGACACTGTTTTTCATTATCGACTATAATGCACTGGTGTACAAAGAGAATGGCAATAAAAAATTCATTTCACGAAACGAGTCTCAGTTATTGGGTTACGAACTTTCTAGACCTAATGGGCTGGTCAATGAAATGAGCGACGTTTATCCACCAAAGTCCTGCATCCATTCATCATATGGCTTATATCATCGTTTTGCTATCAGTTGGGAAGAGGGAAAATAAAGCCTATGGTGCCAGATGATGCATGGATAGAACGAGGTAACACGAAAAAAAACAACAACAGGCAAACAAACAAATAACAACAAAAATCTAAAAAAAAAAACAATAAACAAGCAAACAAGTGTTTCAGTCTCATGAAATATATGACATTCTGTTTTTGACGTTCCTAATTTCTCAGTTCTCACCACCATAGCCCCTCCATTCGACATGTAAACCATACATGATACGCTATAAGCTCTGGCCAGCGCTAGCGCTCGAAGTAGGAGACCCTAATTACTTTCCTTCTTCCTTTAACATTGAAAATAAGAAAAACATTCTAAGTTAGGACCGAGGACGATTCTCGAACAAAGGCGCTGTAACTTTTCGGGTCCCGAAGCAAATTTTGAAATCAAAACGTGTTGAATGTTAGCACATCTCCTAGCTCATAAACCTGTCAGTCAATTTTGCTTCGTTGACTTATACTTTCATTGTATCATTTTCAAAATTAAACACAGAACAGCTTTTCGGGCCCGAAAAGTTATCGGGACCTTTGAGTAACGGACCCCACGTGTGTCATTAATTTCACGGGTTGGTTCAAGTCCTCTTCATAACTTCGGGAGTTCTCGCGTTTTTCTGGCGCACGGCGTCTGGGGATGAGAAAGCCCGTCCCAGACTTTCCTCGGAATTTGTAGCATTGGAACCTTCAAGATGGCGGATCTGTGTGATGTTTTACTGTTATTTGTGACTTGTATCCATCTACTCGTTTGTCCATTCACCAAAGTAGAAGAGAGCTTTAACATGCAAGCAACGCACGATCTCTTGTATCACAGAGGCAACATTAGCAAGGTACGGTACTTCAATTACGATCGCCTGGTAGCGATCTCAATTTCCAAGCGAAAGTCTCCTAGAGTACTAAGATTTATTAAGCTTCGTGTAGGAGCGCTTTGTTCATGTAACTGCAGAGTAGATGCATTTTGCAAATTGGAACTCTGAAAAATACGATGGAATAGAGAATTAAATCTGGAGTACAATAAAAAAGTGTTCTTATTAACCTTACTGCTGTGTGAGTCATTCCATTTTTATCCGTAACCCTCGCCCACCACCAACCAAAGCTGGAATCCGAACTCTAAATTTTTTTTGTTGGCGCCCCTTGAAAACTGAAGGGTATAAATTTTGTTGGCTTTATTAATGAAAAATTCTGAACTCCACTTTTCAAAAACCTGTCATTCTTAGGAGGGGGGAAATTGTGGGATGGTGGGAGGGGGGTGGACACATTAAAATTGGAATGTCCCAGTTAATTCTCTGTTCCATCACTTGCTTCATACATTGTAGTGCTACAAGCGTAAGGTATGACATTATATTACGTAACCCTAAAATAAAAAAAAATGACTACTAGCTAGGTTATGCCTATATTTTTTGCTCCTTTTATTGTCATAATTATTGTTTAATTTTAGACCATTTTTAAGCAACAAGCTTTAGTTAATTTTTGTGTGTTTTCTATTTCTTTTTTAGTATGATCACTTGGAGTTTCCTGGTGTTGTCCCTCGCACTTTTCTTGGTCCTATTGTGGTTTCATCACTCGCATATCCAGTGATTACAGGTCTTAATGTAGCTGGTGCATCAAAACTGTGGTCACAGATTGTAGGTATAATTATACATATTAATATTTGGTCAGGTAGTAGATTATCCTGAGAGCAGAGTCCCTTCATCTTCCTCTTCCTGACTTATCAAGGAAAATCTAAATTCCACTGATACCAAATATTTAGCAATTGTTAGTGGATGAGGACACATAATGTCATTTTTCCACATCATACGATACAGAATACATTTAAAGGGCCACAATGGGATGTATGATCAGGGCTCCAAAAAAAAAATTGAATTCCAGCTTGTCCTTTGGGCAAGCAGCTCTCTCATTTTTCTTGCCTTGGGCCACTTCTTGCTCGTTTTAGTTAATGATTAAGTTAAATTTAGATGACTTGCTTAGACCCTTGCCTTTGGCCAAGTGAATTTAAAAGTTATATGCCCTGGAAGAAAATCTGCGTGTCCCGGACGACTGGATGGGACTTTTTTCGAGCCCTGATGATAAGATACATACTGTGAAGGACTGGACTTACAGTTCCCACTACTAGTTGGGGGTGCAAAAACTCTTCAGCTGGCAAATGACAAATATTAGTAGTTATGCATTTGTGTACCATCTTGTCTGCCATCTTTATTAAGGAAAGATGCTAAGCAGGGATGGTTGCTATTTCATTTTGTCTCCACCATAAGATGGCCTTACAATGGCTAAATGGAGAGTTTAAGACATTGATTTAGTTTAAGTTTTTGGAGATAAATATAGAGCAATTTAGAGTCACATTTATGACAAAATATGGCCAACAGGAATAATTACAATATCTACACAGGGCTTCTGATAGGTTGAGGAAAAAAAGTGAAATTTCGCGGGATTTTTAGGGCCAGATTCACGGAAAAAAGGGCTGATTTCACGGGAATTTTCAGGGCCAACTTCGCCAAAAAGTAATCAGTAAAAAATGGCCAATTTCATGGTTGTTTTCAGGGCAAATTTTGCTAGGAATCGATTGGTTTTGCGCTGATCAGACCAGCGATTCAAAAGTTTTTCTAACAGAGGTCGTCATTTGCTCTTTCAACAACAATACGTTCCAGAAATGAGCCAATGGGAAAACTTTTAACATCATGGCTGGTTCCCAGTTTTTCGCAACATAATCTATGCCTGATAGTTTCAGGACGTTGTTTGCACGTTTCAGTGACAAAGTTTCAAGATGAATTTGCAAGTTTACGGCAAGTAAATAGCCCCAATAGCTGAGCTAAGTTTGAAATATGTTGTACAGACATGTATTTGATAAGATTTCTACCGAATTTCGTGGTATTTTGTGTATTATTGTGACTTTTGCAGGATTTCGCAGATATACCTGAATTTCACGGCTCTGCGACAGCGCGAAATATTAGAAGCCCTGTATACAACAAGACCAAGCGTTTCCTTTACTTACCTAGGCTGCAAAGATCCTTATTTAGGCAAAATCAGTCAAACATCAGTCTAGAAGTAGAGTGTAACCATTATTTCCCCTTCTTTTCAGTCCGTTTTTCTCTAGGTGTGATCTCTCTGTTTGCCTTTTCAAAGTTCAGAAGCTCAATCTCACTTACATTTGGTTCAGATGTTGGAGTTTTCTTAGCACTGATAACTGCCTCTCAGTTTCACTTGTTATTTTATTTATCAAGACCACTACCAAACACATTTGCCCTTGTATTAGGTAAGTAATATACTACTTATTAACCAAGATTGAGTTTCATTACAGGGAAATCTCAGACCAAAGCCTTGAACGAGATCAATACATCAAGGCCAAGGTCTGAGATTTCCCTGTAATGATCGAACCATTAAGGGTAATAAGTTATTATTATATGGCCTTTTTATTATGGACCTGAGCTTGCGATCAATTAGAGCCAACAACTGGTCAGTGGATAACTCAAAAAAACACATCACCTCAATGAGTCGTACATGTACACTTGAGCTGGTGATATAGTCAGGTGACACTGGTCAGTGGATGCCCTTTTTGACAGCTGTCAATTGACTATGACATGGATGTCCATAAGGATGCCCACTGTCAAGTTAAATACAGATTGTATATGCCTTGGCACACATGTAGCTAGTAATGCCGGATCATTACCAGAAAATAATGCCCTGTCATTACAAAAAAACAGCGAATAAGAGAGCGTGCTACATGTATTTTAGCCATATGATAAAGAAATTTTAATAATTCAGACTGTCTAATTTACAAATCAACAACAATTTTCCATGATCTAACTACTTTTATGAAGACCTTAAAATGTTCAAAACTCAAGTGGAATCACGAGCTGCACTGGAGTGTTTTCACTGTAAAGTTTTGAACATTTTGATATCACTTCTATGGTCATTATGAGAGTGGTTGCAAGGAGAATATTGACTATATGTATATTCCTTCATTTTTTCTCCTTTGTAGTTCTTTTCGCTTTCCGGTTTTGGCTTGATCAACACCATTCAAAGTTTATCTGGACATCAGCATTTGCTATCATCATCTTCAGATCGGAGCTTTGCATTTTGTTGGGGCTGATCTTCTTCCTGGAGCTTGCTACTAGACGAGTATCTCTGCTAACAGGAATCTTGCATTCTGCTTTAGCAGGAATAAGTGCAGTAGGTACTAAAAGCTTTGGCATATCATTTTTTTTGCTTACCTTATTCAGTTTGCCATTTTGTAGAGAATTGCATATGATACAGGTGAACTGTATTTACTTGATTAAATGCTTTCGTCATATATTATATTAAGGCCACAGATGGAAGCAAAGTTACCAAAAAACACTACTCTTAAAAAAATGTTGCACCTAATCAGAAGAATGTGGAGTTATTTGAAGGATTAAATAAGATTAAAAGACAACTGTTTAGAAAAGTTTGGTACAACTAGGTATTCTATCAGAGGCCAAACAATAATGATTGTAAAAATGTCTCTGTTTTACATATTTACAATGATTCCTCGTAATATTATTGTGGGTGATTTATAATTTCGAAATAAACAAACCACATGCTGGAATAAATGTAACCCTTGAATAAATCCCATGTCTAAAAAGCCAAAAAGTTGATAAACACCTCTGCACTTAATCAAGTAATGCTCAATAATTATTCCAACAAATACCTGCTTGGAATTGATTGAGCTATGAATGCAATACTTGCTTTTTAGTGGATGCATCCATAATTAACTTTATATGCATTATGTAAGGTTTGAGCTGAGTTTGATCATTGTACTATTACATGCGAAATTTCTGCAATTTGATTGGCTTACAGCAGTCGTATTTCAGGTTAATTTGAAATACCTACATGTGAAAAATACAAACCTTGCGGGTAGTAGTATAAACAAATAAAAGCATGACTTGTACATGAAATTCGGCATAAATACCACTTGTGATATTTCAAAATTGTCACAAATTTCACTTGCCTAAAGGTTTTTTTTGAAAATAGGTTTAACAATTGTGAAATATCACTTACGGTATTTATGCCAAATATACTAAAAATCATGCTGTTACCTGTACAAATTGACAAAAACGACTTATTTTGTTTTAGCTTTGACTTTTTGTGTGGATTCAGTGTTCTGGAAAAGATACCTGTGGCCAGAAGGGGAGGTCTTATGGTATAACACAGTTCTTAACAAAAGCTCCAGTTGGGGAGTATCCTTTTAAATTTTAACAAGAAATAGCATTAAATAATGCAGTCTGCAGCATGACTGTGCAGGACTGTGCAAATCATGAGCATGTTTTATGAGGTTATAAAGTATTAAGTCAGAAGTGAAGGAAATCATTTTTTTGTAAAGACCTTTTTTGTTTGTTTATGGTTTTACAGTACAGGTGTATTTAAACAAGATTTTTTGACACACTGACAGAACAAGAAATGTCCGAAAGAAAAATGGTGACTTGTCCATTCGACAATTGTTGTTTCGCTAACGTCCATTTTGCCTCCCAATGTCTTAAGTGGTTTGGCTTATGACACGAAGTGAGCACCACACATATATTTACCTGATTCTTTTAGCCATGATACCGACAAAAAAGTCCCATACACACGCGTATACCACTTTGTTTAAGCTGCAAATCAGGTTAATGAAGTTGGGGAACTGTCCTAACACGTTAGCCAAATGACTTAAGATGTTAGCAAAGAGAAGGTTGACAAAACGACTGTTAATTGAAAAGCATATAAAATACTCTGAGGTTGTATGGTTCTCTTTTCTATTTTGTTTTTGTTTTATTTCTTTTTTTACCGTACCTTTAAAAAGAATTATTGAAGTTTGGATAGCATAGCCCAAGATACCCCTTTGCTTGAAAAAAAAAAGAAGTAAACAAAAAGATAAAATCTACCATTTTGGACCCCCTTGTTCCTTGATCACATCTCAGACATCTCCATTCCTTTGGTACTTCTACTCAGTCCTCCCCAGATGTTTAGTCTTTGCTCTTGTCCTAGTCCCTCTCGGCCTCTGGCGGGACCGGAGGACCTGGACACTAGCAGCTCCTTCCGTTGCCTTTGTGTTTCTTTATTCATTTCTTCCACATAAGGAGCTTCGATTTATCATCTATGTCATTCCTGTGCTCAATGCAGTGGCAGCATGTGGAATGAGCTTTATGTAAGTGCTGTTAATGAATACCATCTTTAATTGGCATCATTAAAATAAGGAACCAGCCCTACTGTCAATCATCAAATAGATGCTAGGAGCACCTATTTAATTTTGGGTGCCAAAGAGGGGGCGTTTAATAGCAAGGAGGCATTTAAAGGCGTGAGACATTTATTCTCATATTAAATTGTACACAATTTCCAAAAAAACTAATATGCTTTTGATAGGCGAATGAATTACTAGAGAGATTATTAGAGAGGGGCATCTTTTACAAACTCAAAAGTGTAGGGGGGTATTAGACAAGAGGCGTTCATTATAGAGCTAGAGGGCGTTTATTAGATCATTTACCTGTTGGAAGAAATCTTGTGAGGTAGAACGAAATGTAAGCTGACAGTTGTGTGCAAAATTTGCTTTTTGCGTTGCTTTGCTGTTGAAGGCCCCGTCTTAGCTACCTGAAAACTGGTTACATGTACCTGTAGGCAATAAGCTAGTAGTTGTTCTTGTGGAAAGCATGGCTGAAGGTTTTTTTTCTGTTTCGGAATTTACTCTATGGAAAATCCTGGTGGTGGCTTCTTATCTTACATTCTGGGTGTCCACCCTGTGGAAGCTTAATGTTAATGCTTGTGTAATTTTCTCATGTTTTCTATTTATGTTTCCTTTAAAAAGATTGCTCATTGAACATGTTGATTGATTTTCAGATACAAGAATGAAGCTAAATGGAAGCCATTTCTGTCTGTTCTGGTAAAATTTGTCACTGTGGGGGGACTGCTGGGGAACTGCTTGGTCAGTGGTTTATTGCTGTTTATCTCCCATCATAACTACCCTGGAGGAGTAGCTTTTCAAAGGCTTCACGCACTCCTAGATAATCAAACAGGTAGAGAGTATTGCTTTCACTGACACAGCTGTTGGATTAACGCGCACACATTACCACCCACATTACGGGGAACGTCCTTTTTAGGGACGTTACGATCTGACAACGACCACGCCAGTGAAAACGTCGTTGAAAAATATACCCCGCATCCTTTCAAACGTTTTTCGCGATTTTTGTAAGTCGTGTAGTTACTTAAAAGTAGTGAAATTAGGTTGGAGCTGAGGAAGGGGACAGCGTTCGAGCGCAGACTGAGATAGTAACATTTATCGCCATGCTGCAAGGTTTCTATTGGTCAATAACTTCAAAATGATAGGAATGCTATTGAATGTTGTGCACGGTCAGGTCCAAAAAAGTGAACAAAAACCTATAACAAAGGGTTTCCCAACCTTTCTACGTAAATTAACTATGTTCACACACATCGGTCATCGTGACGGAACTGTTGGCCGAGAGGGTTTGGTGAACTAAATCCCATTCCTCGGTCCCACGTATTCCCTTCCCGTCCTGTTCACATGACACCAAAGTGTGGCACGGAACCTATCCGATATGTGACGCTCTACTTTAGAGGTAGACGCGGCACAGCTTTGCCCCGTCACTAGGAGGCAGTGTGGCCGAGCGGTTAGAGCGCTGGACTTTTAATTCGGAAGTCCCGAGTTCAAGTCCCGCGCTGGCCACTTGCTGGATTTGTTCACGGTAGTCCTGGTTTGCCTTCGACCAGTTGGGATTCTCAACCCTGTTAAGTTCAATTTGAATTATTTGTTTCAGGCATTTGCTCGGCCCCACTAACATTAGTGCTATAAACACTGCGGAGGGTAAATAACGGAATTATTGTTATTATTATTATTATTATTATTATTATTATTATTATTAGTAGTAGTAGTAGTAGTAGTAGTAGTAGTAGTAGTAGTATTATTATTATTATTATTATTATTATTATTATTATTATTATTATTATTATTATTATTAATCTCCTATACTTTAGGAGGTTTTTATCACAGGGTGCATTCCATAAGTAAGCAGAGTCCTTTTTTGTTTTCCTCAGAGGCTTGTCGTGTCCACATTTCTGTTGCTGCTGCTCAAACTGGAGTTTCTCGGTTTGGCGAAGTGAATCCTTCCTGGAGGTGAGCAACCCTCTACGCTTACCGGGGATAGTTTTGTGGAAAGGAGATAAACTTTTACACACGCGCGCGAATGTTGCAAGGATGCCGTCTAATTGCAACTTACAGTCTTACTCTTGTTTTTTTACACCAGCTTAGTCTTTTCACTGTTCGTTCTAAGGCAGTTCAGTCATGTCTAATACTTTCGACATGTTACGAGTGGAAAATTTATACGTTTTACAGCTGGTACGACTGGACAAGTTGTGTCCACTCGACAGATAGTGTTGTCGAGTCAAAATGCATGGCTTTGGTTCACTCAAGCTTCCGCGTCGAAAGTTGTCTAGTCGTACTATCTGTACTCAGCCTGAGCTGTACTTGTGGACAAAATTATTGTTGACAAGACAAAATAACTTGACAAGTGTTCAAATGCATCTCATTAGCAAAAACAATAACGTGGCAGCAAAACCCTTTTTGCTACGATTACAAGTTGAACTTTCTCAGTGTTGGTTGAAGGTGTTCTCAAATAAACACCGCAGAAAAGGAAAAGTTCAATTACTTTTTGTCATTTTGGGTCATTCTTTTACCCGCGAGTGGAGACTGGAGAATTAAGTACATGGCCGTACAGTCCTGCTTTTCAGTATTACAATACGATTTTCAGTATTGTTTGCCTCCGTCTCTTGGATGGTGGTCTATCTTTAGATCCTTGCCGCTGCGACCGTTCAATATTCGATCGCTGTACTTTCTTTTTCAGGCATCCTAGCAGTTGCAGCTGTCACCCCGTAGCAATCATAACACATTTGGGAGCTTAAGCAACAATCACGGCGTCGGTTAGAAAAACGTCACTTAAAAAGTGAATGCTCGCTGCTTTAAACTTTATGACGCTTATTCCATATCGTCCAATTCATCAAATGTTGGCAAATGTTTTTGGAGTTGAATTCTAAAGGACTGTATAACTGTTCAGGAGAAGAAAAAGAAAGTTGTTGTCTTCTGTTCCCGTCCTTAACAAACGTGAATTTAGGCACTTTCACGTTGTAGTCTTGCAAAGACGGCGAAGAAATGTACAAAAAAGCGTGATGCACGTGCAAAGTTGTTTTGCTAATCAAACCGATTGCTTTTTCATTAGGGAGCTTAAGCAACGAAGACGGCGACGGCTACGAAAACGTCACTTAAAAAGTGAATCCGCGCTGCCTCAAACTTTATCGCGCTTATTCCATCTCGTTTAGTCCGTCAAATGTTGGCAAATTTCGTTGGAGTTGAATTCTAAAGGATTGTATCAAAGTTCAGGATTAAGAAAAAGAAAATTGTTGTTTTGTGTTCCTGTCCTCGACGAAACGTGAAATTAGGCACTTTCACGTTGTAGCCGTGCAACGACGGCTATAAGAAATGTACAAAAAAGCGTGTTGCACGTGCAAAGTTTTTATTTTGCCAATCTAAACCTATTGGTTTTTTGCCGTTCTCGTTGCTGTCACCGTTGCTTAAGCTCCCTATTGTANGGCAAATTTCGTTGGAGTTGAATTCTAAAGGATTGTATCAAAGTTCAGGATTAAGAAAAAGAAAATTGTTGTTTTGTGTTCCTGTCCTCGACGAAACGTGAAATTAGGCACTTTCACGTTGTAGCCGTGCAACGACGGCTATAAGAAATGTACAAAAAAGCGTGTTGCACGTGCAAAGTTTTTATTTTGCCAATCTAAACCTATTGGTTTTTTGCCGTTCTCGTTGCTGTCACCGTTGCTTAAGCTCCCTATTGTATCACACGGAAACTAGCCTTTACGGAAGCTTTAACTGTAGTCACTTTTCACAGATATTTCAAGACCGAAGATCTACCCGATGACAGCCCTGAAATGCTGGGATTCACTCATCTCCTTACCGAGCCACCATGTGACAAAATGAAGCGATCGCACTTACTTCTCGACACTGTAAATGGTTTTGATAGGATTAATTTACATTTTAAACGTTTTCCTTTCTTTTCTTTGGTATTAGCTCCTAAAATTTGTATTCAAGAGAAGCGGGGATGGAAAAAAAGCGACAAGAGGAGAAGCTGGTTGTTTGAATCCTATATCGCAGCATACGGTGCATTTTTATAAACATTACTTAATATACCATCCACACTAAAAAGTCAACACTGCGGACTTCTTATATACTAGAAAAATATTGTGTGTCATTATCTGGCAAGTAATTCTCAAGGCTGAATGAAGCATTCTGATTGGCTGTTTTACGGTTAGGATCTTACATTACGGCCCTTAATTACGGAAACTGCTCTTTATAGGCATATTTTTGTTGTTCCTCGTGAAAGATCGAAACCAAAAAAAAAACAAATAATACTTTTGATTACTGGAAACGTGTTTGAATAATCATTTCAAAATAAAGTTAAACCCGGCTTTAGAAGCTAATACTTGTCCATAAAACGCCTTGTAAGACGAGGAAGGATGCACGAAATACTTCTAATTTTCACAAATATTAACGACGGCCGACAGCTGGAGTCAAGAAGAAAAACGAATGTTTCTAAAATATTGTGATTTAAGTAAAAAAAAAAAACGTGAATCAAGCAGATAATTTCAAATAAATTATTTATATCTTATGTAAAACTACAAATTCAATACAATGAAAACAACAAAGAAAATTAAAAGAAAAAAAAATTCGAAATTGTGTTGTTGCCAGGAGTTGTTTTGTTGTTGTTAATGCTTGTTGGAGCTTGAAGACCATTTTAGCTTGAAAGTTTTGTTTTCCCATTTCAGACCATTTGATGTTATCCCAGAGAACCGTTTTGTTGTCCTATGCATGCATGCCTGATTTATGAAAATCCCTTGAGAACTTCAGTCACGTAGTCTGAATGAAACGAGTCTTATAGTTAATGCGAAAAAGCAAATGCCACTAGGAAAAAAAATACCAGGAGCCAATGATCCTGGAAATACTCATGACCCCCAGGCTGATTTGAAGTTAATGACTAACACTAAAACAAATCAAGGTGTCATGTTCTGTCAAGCGTAAGGTTGGGGGCTCAACTTTGAGATAACCCGAACGTGCTGAATATTTTTACGCTCAAGGAGCGAAGAGGCAGTTCCACATTATTAGACTGTGCCAGAGGAGACTACCCCTACGGTGCTCCATAAGGTACTACTGAACAAAAGCCCCAGTGTTTATGATCATTATAGACCTGCTACGCAGTACAGGAACTCCAGCGTTAGAGGCAACCTTACATCTATGGCACAGTACAGGAACGCCAGCAGAAGTCACCTTACACTCCTGCTCCCTGAATGGTCGTGTGAATGTTTCATGAATGCTTGACTTGAACTCTTCCCACAACATCGACGGAATATTTGCAATATAAAGAAGTTCATCTTTGATTCGACACATTGCATTTCTGATTCCTCTCACAAACGCGGACCAATATGAACTGATGGTGCTTACAAAAACTGTCCAACATAAAAGGCACATAAAACAGAGAGACATCGTTAGCATGACAACCGCTGCAACTACCGAAACCGCTGCACACAGGATCAACAACGCGGGCCCAAAGATGATAACGAGGGTCAGAAGTAATGGGGATAATACCAAAAGAAAGGTTGATGCCAAAAATAAAGAAAGAATTGGACATTCCTCCACAGCTCTTTTAATCTTGTTGATCCTGTTTTCAGCCTGCTTCTGCTGGATCCGAGATGCCTGTTCTCCGAGCGTGCGTAGAGTATGCAAAGTTTGATTTAGTCTCCCTTGGTGCGAATCACTCATCACTGTCAGCTGTGTTTACAACCTAAAAAAATGACAAACTAATGCAGATATTCCCTAGTTGTTCAAATTAGTCTAATGCCCCAAAGCTTAAACGAGTTAAAATGTGGTTTAAGATTGTTTTCTTCGAGATAATAGCCTGCGAGCAAGCTCTCCTATTTGGGCGAGTGAAACGTGTCTCGCGAGAACGCACGAGCGAACGGCGAAGCCGCGAGGGGCAGAGGAAAGGAGAGCTTGCAACGATCTCTCATAAAATTTCGCGCGTTCCCGCGAGGCTCGCTTCGCTTGCCCAAATAGGAGAGCTTGCTCGCAGGCTATCGAGAAAATGGCCGTTTTCACACCAGAGAGGATCATTCGTCTGAGACGGGTTATCCGTTGGATAATTCGCGTTAGACAAATAATCTGTCTTAATGTGAAAACGGAAATGGTTTTAATTTTGGACGAATACCGTAAAATTCCGAAAATAAGCCCCGGGCTTATATTTTTCAAAGGCCCTTTTTGAGGGGCTTATTTTTGGAGCTAGGGGCTTACATTCGGAGGGGCTTATTCATGGAGGTAAATTTGCGTTTTAAAATCGATTGGGCTAGCCTTATAGTTGGAAGTAAATTTACCGTTTTTGCTTTGTTTTACCTTGTATTTGAGGGCAATTTTCCAAGTACAAGCCCCCAGGTGGCTTATATTTGGAGGGGCCATTTAACGGAGGGTTTTTTGCGTTACCAGATTGGGGGGCTTAAATTTGGAGCTAGGGGCTTATACGTGGAGGGGATAATTTTCGGAATTTTACGGTGATCTGTCTGACTTTAACTGTCTGTTTATCCATCAATTTTGACGGCCTTAGCCTGACAAAACAGACAACATTTCGCGACGCCACTGGTGGTTTCCCCGCGAAATGACATCTGAGAAATGAACGTAGAAATTCCATACTGATGACGCGTCACTACCCAGATCTGGGTAGTGACGCGTCATCAGTATGGAATTTCTGCGCTCATTTCTCAGACGTTGGGCGCGATCTATTCAACCAAAAGTTCCGGAAATTTCGGTCCAAAACTCAATGGATCGGTTCGGTCCAGCCGGAAAAGTTTCGAAAAAACGGGTCCACCTTTTGAGGTGGACCACTTCTCCTGGTCGGACCGGTTTGAATTTTGGTTGAATGGATCGCGCCCGTTATTTTGCGGAGAAACCACCGGTGGCGTCGCGAAATGTCGTCTGTTTTCTCAGGCTATGACGGCCTTTGAAGACGGATTATCCGTCTCTAGTGTGAAAACGGCTAAATTTCCTGCTTACTGAAGTTTGTCGTGTTCGAATTTAGCGAAAATTAAGAACATTTCAATCTGTTTAAAAGTAATAAGTGTTGTAGTTTCCGTTATAATTAATTTACTGATGCTTTCTTAAACTAGCTAGATGTTGTTGGAAGGAAGTATATGCCGAAGTAAATTATTGAGGAAAAAAAGCTTTAAAGAAGGGCAGCCTATTAAAACACTTGCGGAATGAAGAAAAACCAACCAACCAACCAATTAACAAATAAAAAAGGATATTTTGAAAGACAAAAACAAAACAAAAACAAACAAAAAACGGTTAATCGAATTGTTTTTAGAATGTTTCGCTTGCCAATAACAACGCATTAAAAAAGAGTTAAATCGGCAAACACTACCTTTTTAAGGCATCGAGGTGAAATGAATAAATAAACTTAATTCCAGTAGATTGTTTTATCGCGAGCGGATAAACAACTTTGGGGGAATTGTTGAATTAGATTAATGTTAATCGGCTTTACAACATCTGTAGGTCCAAGAAATAAGGTATTAAAATTTAATTACTCGTGTTTAGCACTCACCTTAGATTTCCCACTTGTAACGATCACGATTGAAATATTTCTATACACTTAACAAAGCTATTCTCAAAAAAGAAAACGTCTTGACACTTAATGGAAAATCGAATTATGACGTAATAGATTATCGTGTCTAATTGCAGTAATTTCCAATTTTAGTAATGGTAACAGGACTGAGTGGAGTCCAATTCGGTCTGTAATCATACGAGTGATTAACAAAATCGGACGACCGCGTAGCGGGAGTCCGATTTGTTTAATCACGAGTATGATTACAGACCGAATTGGACGACACGAAATTCTGTTGCCAATTAATCATAACCCTAACAAAATTTGTTAAATATATATTAGGCTCTTTCTTTAAATTAAAACACAAGAAATTCCAAGATCTTTTTGCCAGCAGAGAAAAAAAGCCATTTAAGCGCGCGCGTGATGGTCCCCACTATACTACAGAAGTTTGCTCCTAGAAGGCGCGCGCTACAACTTTGATCATGCACTAATGTACTCTCGTAATGGTCCATTCTCGTCCCCAGAGCCCGTCGTTTCTTGGTCACGTGGTAGGGAAACGAGGGGCTCTGGAAGCAGCCGTTACCGGATGTCAGAAAATTTCTGACATCCGGTCGCGCATGTGCAGAATGTACAAATATCACTGCTCATGCTCATAACGGATTTTTGTCCCTCACCGCTCCACTGGGGGAAAAATTTTACTTCCTGAGCTCTCTCTAGAGAGTGGCTTCTTTGGGGTGTTTTGAAAATGCACCGCTTCACTCAACTTGGATTCACCGGTAATATGGAGTTTATAGAAGAAGACAGTAACAGAAAGCGGCTGAACACACTGTTGGTTTGCAGAACTGAGACAATAGACCTATTCGGCTAACTCAATGTTGTACCCAATTCAAACCCTTTGGGAATAAAACGTTTTGTTTCAGGAATTTCCATATCATTTTAATGTGAATGCCACATTATAATGCAAATACAATACACAAAGAATCTTATCCCCGGGAGATTTGAATTGGGTACAACACTGAGTTAGCCGAATAGGTCTATTAATCGGCAGACTATCGTCTGAGTTATATGAGTTTTTTTTTTCAATACGTTTGGCGAACGAAACACTGGGAAAGCAATATCGCGAAGATCGATATAATGCGGGAAAAAGTCAATCCAAAAAGGTATCTTGTTCCGTGTCCTGCAACTGCTATCTTACTTATAAACACTGTTTGAAACGAAACCATTCGTGTGTTGTGTTAGGAGAGTAAAATATATATTTCATTTCATTTCACTCGAGCTGGTTGTGTTTTTTCCTATGTTTATTTCCTTTAGTGGTGTCGCATGTCGTGGTTTTAATTTTGCCCATGAGCTTTTGTGTACAACACGTGTTAGACAACCGAAGGGTTTACGTCGAAACAAATCAATATTAATCATTTTACCGACCCAGGGTAAAAAACATATATTACATAGGTTGTCCAGGAGAAGTGACAGTCTAATACACCTCCATGGGCTTCCATGCATGGCAACTGTCTTCAAAATCTGATCGTTTGT